CAGCCTCCTCTTCATCTACCTCCTCCTCCTCCTCCTCCTCCTCCTCCTCCTCCTCCTCCTCCTCCACAATTACTCAATATGAAAATACTCTCCCTCTTCCCCTGATGGCGTCCGGGTGATGGCCGCGCACCCTCCGCGTACTGTTTTTTTACACACAGGATGCCCGGGAAATCCCGGGAAACGACTCTCGCTGAGGCGCCGGCGTCATTTTTTCCCAAAATGCTGCTCTCGTTGAGGCGCCGGCCTCATTTCTGCTCCCGAATCGTTCCGAATCGTGCTCCCGCTGCAGCGTGGGCCTCATTTTCGGATCGGTGTTTGGCCTCCGTCGTTCAGGATGGCGTTCTCGCCCCAGCGCGGGCCTCTTTCTCGCGCGCCCATCCGCCCGCCACCACCGCGCCGCACCACCACACCACCACCACCACCCACCACCAGCACCACCACCACCACCACCACCACCACCACCACCACCACCACCACCACCACCACCACCATCACCACCACCACCACCACCACCACCACCACCACCACCACCACCACCACCACCACCACCACCACCACCACGACAACCACGCACACACGCACGCACGCACGCACGTGCACCACCACCCACTACGCACGCGCGCGCGGAGCCACAGGTCCGCTACGACACGCGTCCGCGGATAGAGAAAATCAGCGCCATGGTAAGGGATGGGAGGGAGGGGTAGGACGTCAGATATGACGCGAGCGCACCTAGCTTGTCCTCCCCCTCCCCCTCCTCCTCCTCCTCTCCTCCTCATCCTCCTCTTCATCATCCGCCTCCTCCTTTCCTCCTCCTCCTCCTCCTTGTCCTCGTCCTCCTCCTCCTCCTCTCCTCATCATCATCCTCATCCTCCCCCCCCCTCCTCCTCAGTTTCCTCCTGTTCCTATCCTCCTCCTCCTCCTCCTCCTCCTCCTCCTCCTCCTCCTCCTCCTCCTCCTCATAATAATCATCATCACCACCAGCACCACCATCATCATCATCATCATCATCATCAGCAGCAGCAGCATCAGCATCATCATCATCAGCAGCATCATCATCATCAGCATCATCATCGTCATCGTCAAAACCGTCATCATCAACATCGTCATCATCAGCATCATCCTCATCAACATCAGCATCAGCATCAGCAGCATCAGCATAATCAGCAGCATCAGCATCGTCATCGTCATCACCACCACCATCATCATCATCATCAACAACAAGAACGAGGCGCAGTTGACCGGCCCGTCCACTGGGGAGCTCCACAGCGCCTCCTCCCCTAGGGACAAGGCCGACTTGACCGGCCCGGGGGCAACCGCGGGACCCCAGCAACCCCAGCAACCCCAGCAACCCCAGCAACCCCCAGCAACCCCGAAAGCTTACCTCCACAGACCAAGCTCTCAACGCTACGTCCTCCATGCGGATTCTGACAGCACGACGCGTGTGCGCACCGGTGCAGCGAGCTCTTGAGGAATCCTATAGGATCCTCGAGAAATCCTATAGGATCCTATAGGAAATCCTAAAAAATCCCTTAGGAATACTATAGGATTCCTTAGGAATCCTATAGGAATCCTATAGGATCCCTTTGGAATCCTATGGGATTCCTTAGGAATCCTATAGGAATCCTATAGGATCCCTTAGGAATCCTATGGGATTCCTTAGGAATCCTATGGGATTCCTTAGGAATCCTATAGGAATCCTATAGGATCCCTTAGGAATCCTATGGGATCCCTTAGGAATCCTAGAGGATCCCTTAGGAATCCTATAGGATTCCTTAGGAACCCTGTGGGATCCCTAAGGAATCCTATGGGATCCCTGAGGAATCCGATAGGGATCCCTCAGGAATCCTATGGGATCCTACCAGGACCCCTTCCGCGGCCGCGGAAGGGTTGCTGGGGTTGCTGGGGTTGCTGGGGTTGCTGGGGTCCCCCCGGGCCGGTCTAATCGTCCTCATTCAACAACAACAACAATAACAACATCATCATCATCAGCAGCATCGTCATCATCGACATCGTCGTCCGCATCATCGTCATCAGCACCAGCATCGTCAACATCAGCATCATCAAGCATCAGTTTCATCATCATCATCAGAATCAGCATCGTCGACATCATCACCACTATCGTCATCCGCAGCAGCATCATCATCAGCATCAGCATCCTCAGCAGCATCATCAGCCTCGTCATCAGCAACAGCATCCTCATCAGTAGCATCAGCACCAGCATCAGTACCATCCTCATCAGCAGCAACCTCATGGTCATCAACATCAGCATCGTCATCATCATAATACTCATCAGCATTATCATCGACACCACCATCAGCATCATCATCAGCATCATCAGCATCATCAGCATCCGCATCATCATCAGCATCAGCATCAGCAGCATCACCATCATCATCGTCATCATCATCGTCATCGTCATCATCCTCGTTGTCCTCGTCCTCGTCTTCGTCCTCGTCCTGGTCCTCGTCTTCGTCCTCCTCCTCCTCTTCCTCCTCCTCTT